TCTTCAGCTCCATCCATCCTTGCCCAAAACACCAGCTTTTGCCTGGATGGTCACAACAGGCTCTGGGTCTCTGTCCCACCAACCTTGGGGCTTCACCCTAAGCCCGTGTCCCCCAGGCCTGGTCCTCCTGATCCTAAGGGGAAGCCCTGGGGCACTCTGGGCTCCTCTGCTGCCCTCTACCTCATCTTGTGGATTCTTTCAGGTCTGAAAGCCCCAACCTGCCCCAGGGCCTTTGCACCTGCCTGGAGCCCACTATCCTTCCACCTGCATCTCCTATGGGGGTCATTGCTCCTTTAGGGAAACCTTCCCTCCCTCCCCTCCTGACCCAGATGAAGTCTAGTACTCCCTGGACACCCTCCTCACAGGACCGGTCACTTTGTTGGGTCATTTGACTGACAACTGTCTCTGCGAACCATCCCTGGCTGGGTGCAGTGGTACAGGCCTATAATCCCAGCGACTCTGGAGGCTGAGGCAGGAGGATCCCAAGGTGGAGGCCAGCCTCAGCAATTTGGTGTGTCACTAAGCAACTCAGTGAGACCCTGTCATTAATAAAAATATATAAAAAGGGCTGGGGACGGGGCTGGGTGGCAGAGCCCTCACACCCGGGTGCTGGTGGCTGCGAACCCACCCAGCACCAGAACACCACGCCCAACCACCACTGAGAAGGCCTTTTGTTCAAAACACAAACATCCGGGGTTTAATAAGATTCTTTTGAAAGTTTAAAAAAAAAGAAAAAGGAGTAATTTAGGGACAGGGGACAGCTTCTTGCAGTGCCTGAGGCAGAGCCGGCTTCTCTTCCCTGAAGACCTTTAGCAAATGACAGTTGGCGGCCTCTTCGAGGCCAGTCCTCAGCCTCCCTCCCCAGCCTCCACCAGCCCAGGCTCGGGGCAGCAGGGCTACAGGGCGTCCAGGATGTGGTCGATCTTGGTGACCAGCTCCTGTCGCTTCCCTGAGATGAGCTTCTCATTCTCGATGTAGGTGTCCTTCTTGAGCTTGCCGGCCACCAGGCGCTCGGCCTCCACGGCCGACTTGAGCACCAGCTCCTTCACCTGCGCGTCCAGCTTCTGCATCTCGCTCACCTGGGGGGGGGGGTGACAGCAGGGCAGGGTCACCACTT